GAAATAGGCGCAATAGACGCCGCAACGATGGGGGTTTCTTCTGTCCTTCAAGCTGAAGAACAAAAGGCTGCAACCCGAGTTGGCGTTCGTTTCGACGGTGAAGACCATGTTGTACGAGATGCCAAAGGACTGTCCTTACGCGGACGCCATCCTTATAATGCATCCCCGACACGATTGCGAAGTATTGGGTACTGTTCCCGAGGCAGTATTTTTTTGTATTGAAAAGTTCCAGGACGTGGAGGGTATTACCAGGATTGCACTGCCAGCAGGCAAAGGTCCTATAGATAAGCTGAAAACCACGATAACAGCCGACCTGAAGACCAGCCCGACATATCTCGACGCGCGTCTTTCCGAGGAAGTGGGGAACACCGGGGTGATTGTCAGTTATCAGAAGTTTGTTCCTGATCAGCAGGTAAACAAGATACTGAACAAGAGCGGCATACTGGAGGGAAAGTCGACCATCCCAGCCTTCAAGGCATCTATTAAGTGCGAGCGGCACCTGGAGTTCCGGTATGAAGTGGTGCAAGGGATGAGGGTGTCGACCACCATGCACAAGGAGTTTCGTGGTGTCCATAGGTTCGTTTGCCTGACCATGAACCTGTGACTGACCCAACTTCATTTGTAACACATTCGTTTGTAGTACATAGTCAAGATATATGAATAAGGAGGTTGTTGGTGCCCACAGGTTCGTTTGCCTGACATGGGTTGGCCAGTGGCACGCCACTTACATGGCGATAAACGGCAATCACCCCAAGCCGGGCGAGGTTACTTGCACGATGTTCCAGGCTTCCGCTGTGTATGACCGGAAGCTGGAGATGAAGCGAAAGGAGAAGTATGCCGGCAACTACCCGCACGTGCGAATAACAAAGAAGAGTAGCTCGAAGGCTTCTCTGACAGGCGTCGTCACGCGCCTGGTGGAAGACAGAAAAGATGGGCCGATAACCAGACAAGAAGTTGACAAGGAGAACGAGCACTACAGGTTGTTCAATAAGGTCCTGGGGATGTTCTGGCAGAAGATCGAGGAAGCAGAGAAGCTGGGCAAAGAGGCTGGTGGGAAGTTTGAGGCTAGGAAGTGGTGCTTGGCGGGCAGCCAATTCAATAAAAACGCCCCTGCGCGAGTAGTGGGGAAGATCATCTTAGGCAACAAGGGCCAAACCGCAATATTTGAGGGTTTCCCGACTGGAAGCTCGCGGAAGCCGCCTTCCACCCCGAAGACCACGACCCCTATCCCAGGCGGGAAGGGCAAAGCCCCGGTACCGGTAGTGCGTGTACCTATGGATATTGCCGAAGATCATGACAGCAGCGACGAAGACATGGGCGACGTCGGACGGCGAGGGGGGAAGAAGCAGCCTCCGCCGGAAGTAGTTGCCATGCATGTGGCTAAGGAGGTGAGTACGGAGTTTTGCTTGAGTTACAATCGTCTGTTTTTTTTGTTACAGCTTGGTACGTACTGACCGATGTTTTGTTACGCATGGACGGACCTCCGCAGAACGTGAAAGAGGGGGAGTTGACGAGTGCCTTGCTCGCGGTGTCGGTGGACGACGAGACGCGGAGGCTGCAGAGCGTCGGTGACAAGCGGAAACGTGAAGAAAGCGAGCGGGACCTTAATGAGCTGAAGATGGCCAAGGAAGCAGTGGAGGCCGAGAAGAAGAAGGCGGATGAGACACTGACGAGCCTTCGAGAAGAGATGCAGAAGAAGGTGGAGGATGAACGTCTGCGCGGGGAAAAACAGCTGGCTTCGGCCCTGTCTGCCGAGCGACATGAAAACCGTAAGACAGTGGAGCTCCTTACGACGAAGCACGCTGAAGCCCTGCAGATGCAGATGGCCGAGGCGAAGCAACGGGAGGAGACTCGTGCCGAGGAGCACCAGACAACATTGGGTTCATTCTGGTCAGGGCAGCAGGTGTTGCTGGAGGAGAACACGAAGGCGCAGCAGGCTTTGCTGGAGGAGAACACGAAGGCGCTTACTTCTCGGGACTCGCTTTTGAAGGAGGCAACGGAGTCTTTCCAAAGGACCACTGCCGAGACTGCGAAAATGGCCCACGACGCCCAGGCGAAGATGCTCGAAAATAATGCACTGGCCCAACAGAGGATGCTAGAGAAGAACGCGGACACCTTGAAGGAGATTAACAATCACCACGCCTCGGAGGCTGCAGCGATGAGGGAGATCCTGAAGACAGCCGTGCAGGTAGGAGCTAGTTGTTACGTTCAAGTTGTTTGTGTTTATTGTGGAGGAGGGAACTCTGGCTTGAGGTCCAGATTGAAAGACACGGAACTTGTAACTGGTGTGGGGGGGGGCGGTTGGTACGTCACCGGTAACAGGCAGTAACAGCAGCAGGCCCGTTCGCCCAAATGTTCCAACTGGGCGGAGGAGTCTTTTACCCGGGAGCGCCAGCGCTCGGCGCAGTAGGAGGGTCACCTGCTTTAACGACGCCAACGGGCTCCAAAGTCCCGGGAGCCTCTCCTCCATCACGACCGGCAATGTTCGCTTCTCCACCACGAGCAGGTCCGCAGTGGCCAGGTCAGTTCGACCTCACCCCGGCGGCGAAAGCTGACGCTGAGAAGTTAGGAGAAAGCCTCTGGACAGACTTGAAGGGCGAGGACTCGGAGAAGAAACGGTCGGCGATCGCACAGTACAACGGGTACAAGGAGCTCGCCCAGCACCTGGAAGTGTCTGAACCAGTTCTGCGCGCCAAGGTGATTGTGCAAACGTTTGACCTGTACATGTCCGTTAGCAAATAGGTAGTTATGCTTAATAAGCCAGCCAGCAAACGAACTGAGAGCTCGCACCTGCACTGCCATCGTACCGGCCTGTACAATGAATAGTACCGCGCCCGCAAGAAAACCCCTAACCCTGGGTGCTTTGCCTGTTCAAATAAAGACTGTATATTTTCATAGCACCAACGTCTTATCTAGCATTCTTCTTGCCTTTTGTCGGTTTTTGTTGATTTTTTGTGCTACGCACCCAGTTACAGTCTCGTGCAGACCTACACCCCCTAGATTTAAGGTGGGTGCCACCGCTTTTAACATTAAAGCCTCCCATTCTCGGGGTGTATGTAAGATATGAACAAAAGTTTCTTCAGACTCAGTTTGATTGGAATGACTTTGACGTATCCAAGCTGAAAACATCGTCATTATCACCACTTTCAACAAATGGCACTTGAGCACCACCCGAATCTCGGTGACAAATCGCCTGGAAACCCCAAATTTCGGGCTATACCCTAAAATTTCAAATTTTTGAATAACGTGTCATTATCTACTCTCCAAATGCTATTTAGTCATATAAAAAAACCTCATTATCATAACTTCCGCCGATTGACACCTGAGCACCGCCCGAAACTGGGCGAAAAATCGCCCGGAAACCCCAAATTTCGGGCTATACCCTAAAATTTCAAATTTTGAAATAACGTGTCATTATCTACTCTCCAAATGCTATTTAGTCATATAAAAAAAACCTCGTTATCATAACTTCCGCCGATTGACACCTGAGCACCGCCCGAAACGGGGCGAAAAATCGCCCGGAAACCCCAAATTTCGAGCTATACCCTAAAATTTCAAATTTTGAAATAACGTGTCATTATCTACTCTCCAAATGCTATTCAGTCATATTAAGAAAACCTCATTATCATAACTTTTCAAAAAATGAGAATATAATGAGACACCCGCGTGTCTCATTTTTGCGATATGGTCGTTATAACCACTGCGCTGCAGAAACCTGGAAGTCAAGGAGTTTGGGTTTGGAAGCAAAAACGCAACTTTCCGTAAAATTAACCAAATCCGTCGATGGTAAGGTCAAATTGGGGTAGATTTTGACGAGGAAAACGTCGGTGAGGTCAAAAACGTCGTGCGGCAAGCCAATTTTCCGGCAGCAGAGGTGTTGCTGGCCAGAGTGTTGAAGGCGTAAGTTTCGGTATAAAATGTCGCAAATAAATGAATGCGCGAAGTGTCGGTAAATGTCGGTAAAAGTGAAGTGTCGGAAATGTCGGAGGCGACCGATGCGAAAACAAGGCGGCCGTTGTCGGTAAGTGTCGGTAAAAGAAATGTCGGTAGTAGTGTCGGTAAAAAAATGTCGGGATGGAGTCACAGGGCGCGAAGCGGACGGAAGACGGAAGAAAACACCACCACTGAACGTGGGTGGGCTATAACCTTATAGGAAGGTAGATATATAACAATATATATATACTCTTCTGTTGAGTGTGAAAGCACAGTGAGACAGGGTTTTCGGTTCGTCTAAAGTCGGATTAAACTGAAAGATAATCGGGCTTTACGTTGGCGGACCGGGACACACGAGCTGAGCAGACAGCAGGCACTGCAAGTGGCATCCGAGCAGGCGAGGGGTGACACAGGGCACCACAGACCTCCCCCCGTATGGGGGATGAAAGTCGGTGTTCCCATGACTGCGCACATCCGGTATCTCATGCGTTTACACAAGATTAAAATTGAAAAGTAAAACAAAAGCCGAGCACAAAATCAACCCCTGCGCAAATCACCGTCACAATCCGCAAGACCGCAACACAATTCGCCATATGAGGCGAGCAAAACGAATTATGAGCGTCTGCTGCGCAGCTCCTCAAGTGTATTAATCATAGTGCGCTGGTCAACGCGAATCTGCAAACTCTGACACGCTCTCTATGTCTAACATCATCATCATCATCACCCAGCGCAGGTGTCGCCCGTTCCACACTTCCCGAACTGTTCGTTGTATTGGAATATCCTAGTCCAAAGGTCGTCTGTGCAGACTCATAGTCCATGATCAAAGCGGGAGGTCCAGAGTTCGATTCTCGTTGCTACTTTTCAAAACAAAGAAGTAAAAATAATTATAGATTGAATAATCTCAAGTTGCGACGTAATCGGGACGCGTTACAGCGCAAAACCCCACGACGTCGACTATGCAAGATTCTTGGGGCTCGAATGAGGTACCGAATCGCCTGTGAATATAATTCGTGGGTTCGCAAAAAATGTATAAATAAAATAATAATTGACAATAATAACATCAAGTTGTAGCTATAGCTCAGTGGTAGAGCGCCCATGATCAAAGCGGGAGGTCCAGAGATCGATTCTCGTTGCTACTTTTCAAAACAAAGAAGTAAAAATAATTATAGATTGAATAATAACTGAGCTAGCAAACCAGAAAAGTAATTGTAGATGTCAAAGTAAAAGCATAAACCAGATTGAAGACCATGTTGAGGTCAAAGTACACGTCTCAGCGCGCCACCACAAAGTGGTGTACTGCTAGAACCAGAAGCATAACTACTCGGGGTCAAAGTCCAGAGGAACACCGTCACCACAATGTCCATTGTAGCAGCCTGCGGCACTGCACTCCAGTGGGTCAAGCAGCCGGTGAGCCATCCATCCGGAGTGACGGGGTCCAGCTCGGTAATACCAGAGTAGATGCAGAGATCCTCCCTGCACAACACAGGCTGCGGTTCAGCGCCTGACCCGATACCTGCACAGACTCGATGGCATTGGCCGCCGTGAAGGCGGCAGCTCCCACTCCCATGACAGAGATCAATAGAATGAAGGAAAGGATGTAAGGCATCCCCCATGTACCCGCGCGTGCGGGGAAGCCCCATGGCGGCTTGCCACACCCATAGGTGCGGGAAGCACCACCATACCAGTCTCCGTAGGCACCACCAGAGTGAGGCGCGTGGGCTGCGGACCCCGGCGCATGATTTGCCGAAATGGCCGGAGTCCACGGCTTCACGACGAAGTTGCCGTCAGCGAGGTCCTCGTAGTCGTCGGTGTCGTAGCCAGTGAGATCAAGTTGTAATATGGCGGCGTGATTGACGGTTTGAACGAACCCAGCGAATTCACCGTCCGTCGCTGCCGTGGCAGTCACCCGTGCCGATGGAAGTGGCACGGGTTCCACATCCTTCTCCTGCGAGACAGGCATAACAGGGGCCGGCACGGCGGATGCCGATGCCGCCGCACCACCTGCCGGAACCTGCTCCTCCGGCGTGATCCCCGCTGCGGCAGGGCCGCACACCAGAGCCGAAGTCCGCTGCTCGATGCCGTCGTCAGGAGGCGGGAAAGATGCGTGTGTGAAGTGCACCTGGTGATTGGCCGCGGAGTGAACCTCCGCGGCAAGATCGTCGAGCCGTCGGAGAATGTCGTCCCCCACGGGCTCGTCCGGAGGCGATTGCTGCTCCACCGCAAAGCCGTAGGCGGACACGTCGATCCCGCCCACCGCGCCCGCACAAAGCACCGCGGGCGGCCCGTACGTGGTGGCCGCACGAGCGAAGGCCTCCGCGACATCGTCCGTTGCCTGCTGGAACAGGGCACACATGGCAAGTGCATGCACCCCCTCCGCGTCCTCCTCGTCCGGAGGCGATTGCTGCTCCACCGCAAAGCCGTAGGCGGACACGTCGATCAACACGCCCACAGCCGCAGCCGCTCAGCCACTGACTACGATATCAACACGCCACCACCACAGCCGTTCAGCCATCAACTACGAAATCCACGCACCCGCAGCCGCAACCACACGTCAGCATCAACAATCACGCTCATAATATCGCCACGCCACACCCACTTCTTGTCTTGCCAGCTGATGCCTCCCAATCCATGCGCCATCAGCTGGGGGGGGGAATATATTTAAAAAACTTGCCCTCCAATGCCGCACCCACATCTCAAACCCAAAATCCCTCACAACACCCCACACTCAACCACAACAGAGATACACCGACATTTTAGCACCCAGCAATACCCCCACGCCTTGCCAGCCCCTACATTGCCGCCCCTTGTTCATAATCGCGACAGCTGTCACAACTATGAACACGCTTAGAAGGGGTCCCTCGAGCACCCCCGAAAGGCCTGTCAGGCCCCCCACATTTAGTCACGCTACCGCAGCCCATGTCAGACCCCACCGCATTTGCCCCCATCGCGCCCGTCTCAGCCGACAGCAAACGCCCCAACCATGACCCCCTTTTTCAGTAATTGTCATTCCCCCCTCAGTCACGGTCCTACCCCAGTTCATTGTCCGCTCGAGCGCCCGGAGCATATCACGTTCACCCTCCAGCTCAGATCTCCCTCCCAGTATAAATCATGCACGATGCCTCGCCAAGCGCTACATCGACGTCGCCGCGACCAGCCCGTGCCGATCCGCGAGCACCGCAGAGCGTCAAGCACGACATCACGCGAAGTGACATCACGACACGACCACACATGACGTCTCGGCGATGCATGACAGGGCAAACGCAAGCGCGCGTTGACACCAAACGCCGCTGTCACTGGGAACCAATGGTCACGCACAGGGCATCCGAAACGACAATGGCATTCACGGACTTCCACTATGCTCGCTTGAGTATTTAGCTAGCTCCTGCTTTCGAAAAGTTAGATCCGAACCTTTCAAAACCATTCTGCGGGATAGTGATATTTGCCTCTTGTGGCCTAGTATTACATGTGATATATACATACATATGCTTCGAATCCACATGAGAGCTTTGTCACTAGCAGTTTGTAAGAGTCTGGTTCGGATTCCCAGAGTGCCGGCACGCCACTCTGATGTATGTGCGAAGTCGTGCCGGGGTGTTTGCTTTATCTGTGATTTGCCCCCTGTGTTGCTCGTTTGCCTTTCTGCTTTTCATGCTTCCATCTGAGCCTAAATCTACAGTCTGCGAGTGCAAGTTAGACCCGCGCCCGTTTTGCGAATCTACGAGCCGGCGCGGCAGAAGCGCGTTGCCGCCTGACATGTTTTACGTAGCACAGCAATAGACACGCATATCGCCGTTCCGCAGCGGTGGAGATCCGCAGCTGTCCGAAAACGTTCGCGAATTCAGGACACGCTCGTGAATTCCCACAGAGGGGCATTTTTCCCGTTGAGCGCCTAGCGGCGAGATAGCCCGAAGCTGCGTTTGTCATAAATTCACACCCGCGACGGCGAATCGTTACAGGCACTCTCAGCGGTATTCACGTGTGTGCACGATGCGCCCGGCCTTTTTGTACCATATTTTGCACCATTTGCTTTGCGAATTCGAACCTCGCAGGGCTTGCTTGCCGAATATGCTCAAACCGGCGTATGTGACCGGCGTTTGGGAATGCACAACCGTAGCCGCGCTAACTCGAGCCGTGACACCTGACTTTTGCTGTTTGACGAGGTTGTAGCCGAACCCATGTTTTTCCCACAGTTTGTATGATGTTTACCTTTGTGAATTCGACCTGCGCAGGCTGTGGCAACGTTGAATTCCCCGAACGGACCTGTGTGACAGGTTGGGGGAATTCACGGCTTACGGCGCGCCAGCTCGAGTCCAAACACCTGACTGCAACCTTTTGACAGCATTGTTGCAGCCGAATGTTTTTTCCTTCAGTTTTTATTATGTTTGTACGTATTTGTGAATTCGACCCATGTGGGCGTTGGCAGCGGTGAATTCCCCGACGGGCCTGTAAGACAGGTTGTGGGAATTCATGGTTGGCGACGCGCCAGCTCGGGTCTGGACACCTGACCCATGCCTTTTTGCCATGCGTGTGCTCGAAACACGCCTTTGCCCGCAGTTGCTTTCATAATTTTCGACGTGAACTCGTGCTTGGCTGCTCGAAGGGCACCAACTAGGCCTTGTGGCAGGTTGGGGGTATTCACCGCAGGAGCCGCTCGTGCTGCGACCTGGGCGCACGACACGCGAGCCGCAGTGAATGCCCAATTGCAAAGTGTTGTTTTGTCCTGCTGGAACGGTATCACCTAACAGGGTGCCGAACCTCTTCGAATATATTTAAAAAACTTGCCCTCCAATGCCGCACCCACATCTCAAACCCAAAATCCCTCACAACACCCCACACTCAACCACAACAGAGATACACCGACATTTTAGCACCCAGCAATACCCCCACGCCTTGCCAGCCCCTACATTGCCGCCCCTTGTTCATAATCGCGACAACCTTTGTCCGCCTTCTTGCACCTGCCGCAGAACGGCTTCGCCCGCTGATCGTCGCGGTCGAATCCCACGGGTGGCGCCTTGTGCTGCCCCACACGATACCCCTTCGGCTGTTGCGCCCGCTGCTGCTGCCGTTGCGGCACCCGCTGGGACCGCTGAACCGCCGGTATATATATATATATATATTGAGTCGAACTGAGTTTTCGGAGCTTAAACACGCAAAATCATCGCCTGTGTTACCTAACCAAATACGGAACACACCGCCATCACCAGCAACAACATTTGTGATTTCGTGATTGTCGTGTCACACTACCGTGGCATCGAAGGTAGGTCGCATGGCGATATAGCAGACCATCCACTGATCCACTTTTGACGTTGCGGGCGGTCGTCGTAGTTGATGATCGACGATTATCTAACATCGCTCAACGTCAAGTCACGCCAGGACGAGCCGCATGCGGAGTAACACATCTATTGCACGCCGCACCGGAAACTATCGCTGATTTATTGCTATCACACATCTATCACGTCATCAAATTATCATCCCCGAAACCCGCCTTATGTACTCACTTTGGACCATTCCCCCCTGCTGCACAATTTCTGCAAAAATCGATAAAAAGCACAAGTTGCATCAAAGTTAATGCATCACTAGCATTATATGCTGAATATATCAGCTGGATTGTATATTCGGTGAGTCAGATAATCAGAATAGATAACCGGTGAGAATACTCAGTCTTCCCGTTATATGTGCGGGATCTAGGGTTCCGGGACCGGTGACAGTCATACACCCTAACTATAGGAATGACAGTCGGGGCGTCACTTCCAGCACACCACCTACCTAGGGTGGTGACTGGTAAACTAGGTGGTCACGGAACTGAAACAAACACCTACTCAGTTTCGGTGGAAATAAGCATCCTACAGGAGAACCTGTCCTTTCCGGCAGGGTAACTCCTGAAACTAGCAGTCAGCGAGGCATACTGCAGAATACATATACAGTTAAAACCCTAAATTAAGCCCATCTTGGGGCAACCTGAACCAACAGCATCACAGCCTGGAGGCAGGCTAATCCAATCTCGTCAACTCTAACCACGTCGAGAGTGCCCGGGAGAGCCGGTGCCTCTGTTACCACGCCCAGGAGAGCTGGCACCACTGTCTGGTAAATCATGCGTAGAGCAAATTGAGAAAGTTGAGAATGTGCCGATGTCGCCAT